GACGACGACCCGAGCCGCAAACGGCCCCCGCCCTCGACCCGAGGATCCTGATCTGGACCAAACCACCCCAACCCAACCCAACCCGAAGTCGCCGTTGGTCCTGTCAATGTCCAGTGGGGAGGGGCAGTCTGGAAGATCGAAAAAGAAACACCACCAAGCCCGCACATCCCTCCCAGGCTAAAGTTTGTGGGGGCCTGGGAGCTTCGGGTCGGGCTGGGGTGGATCGGTAGGGGAAGATGGTCATGATCCAGCCCGATCGCGCGCGGAGGCCGCAAGCGCCCCACACGTGGAGACGGTGCAAAAAAAAAATGCAGCGGCACACGCCATTCTGAGAAAGCCGAGCTGCTGGCAGGCTGCTGCGAAGCTGCAAGTCCACAAAAATCCCATCTCTCGGGACATCGATGGCCCAACCAAAAGCCTCTTCGACCTTTCGAGAAATCGTCGAAGTCTGCCGAATCTAACGGAGGCAGTTCTTGTCTAGATTCTGGCAAGTTTACTTTTGCATGGAAGAGGGGGGGAGGGGGGAGGGGGGACCGGGTAAGGCCCGAAGGGAAATTTGAACTGATCGCAATTCGGCACTTATTTGCGCCCCTCTTCGGCCCAACGCCTTTCGAAAAGGCCGCGGAGAGGGGGGAGGGACATGACATGCAGGTGAACTCGCCCGAGTCCAACGGACAACAGCCTAAAGCTCGGATTTCGCGAACCGCGGGCCTTCTTCCGGCGGGGGGCTGGATGACCGAGCCGGGCCCCTCAGGAAGGCACTCGGCCTCAGAATCCCCGAGGCCGAGGTGGGCGCGGGAACCGTCGCGGGGCCACCCTCGCGCAGAACCGACGAGGGCGCAAAAGAACATCACCGCACAGTGTGTGTTCTTGTGTTGCAGGCGCACGTCCGGCACGAGCACACGATACAACAATCGAATCATGTTCACATGTATGTGTACGTCTATATACGCATGTGTATGTGTGTATGTTTGTATGTGTATGTGTGTATGGTTGTGTGCATGTGTGTATGTACGCACTTGCGTACGTACGTATACATGTATGTGTGTATGTATGTATATATGAACAAGTGTGTGTATGTGTGCATGTGTGTACGTGTATGTGCATGTGTATGTGTATGAATGCATGTACGTGCGTACGGATGTAAATATGTATAGATGTGTCTGCATGTGTGCTGCATATATGAACATATATGTGCATGCTTATGTAAAAAATAAGTATGTGTATATGAACGTATATGTATATATGTGTCTGTGCAGATGTAAACTGGAACCATCGCGCAAGTTCTAGCTAGGCTTGGTGGGCTAAATCATGGAATCTAAATGTTGTCGCTTTTTGCATCCAGGGACTCTCTTGGAGGCCCAGCGCAAGCCTCGGAACCGCATAGGAGGAGAACTGTGGAAACGCGGAAATCATTAATTCCCGTCAGGTATTCAACGATTTGGGGCCCTCAAAGGCTTCCTGGTTTCTTTTCTGGGAGTTGAGGGGGACCTTAATTGTGGTCTGTTGTGCAAGAGTAGACAGGGGGCGAACTCGAAAAAAAGGAATTGTGGGAGTTCTATATGTTTTTTGAAGTTGCCGTGCCTGGGTTGTGGGTCAGAAGTTTTCTGGATACAAGCCACGGTCCGTTGGGATGCCTCTCGGGATCTTCGCGCAAAAATAAACAGATGGTGAGTTTGATAAAAGGAATTCCAATTGCTCAACTCATGGGACCATGCGATATCGATTTCTACAGTGGTTTCAGAGGCAGCCAAAAGGACGCGAAGACGATCCAAAAGAGTGCCAAGACAGCGTCAACGAGATTCCCGAATTATCTTTGCATGTGACTCCGAAGTCTTGTTGGGGCTCGAGGAAGAAGATAGGGAGTAGGAGTCCCAACTTGGAAACAAATCTATAGAATTCCATTATTGTTTCAAATTCCTCGGTCTTGGAGCGTTGGAAGCGGGAAAACGTGAGAAGGCGAAAAACGTCGACAAACACCACTGGAAATAAACGATTTGACCCTCTTCGGGCTTTCTGGGGACGGCTCTCGAAGCTCTCTTGGGCTGTTTGGAGGGCCTCGTCGGAGCTATTTGGAAGCCTCTCTGGGGTCTGGGGCGTGTTGGAGGCCTCTGGGGGGTCCCGGGGTCCTCTCAGAGGTCTCTGGAGGCCTCCGCTGTCCTGGGCGCCTCTTCGGCAGTCTTGGCGCCGTCTTGGCCCGTCTTGGGGTCGCCTTGGGGGCCTCTTGGGCGGCCTTGGGGCGGTCCTGGGGGCCTCTTCGGCCGTCTTGGAGCGTTGGAAGCGTGAAATGGTGAGACGGCCAAAAACCATGTTTAAAAACTATGAGAATTAACGATTTTAGGTTCTCCAGGCGCTCTCGGGAGGCCTCTCGGAGCTCTCTTGAGGTCTCTTGGAGGCCTCCTGGGAGTCTGGAGAGCCGCCCAGAAGCTATCCTGGGTTGCTTGGGAGCGTCTTGGGCCGTTCTTTTACGTTCTGGGCGCTTCTGGGGGCGTCTTGGGCT